TGTGTGCTGACATTAGACATCTTTTAGGACCTCAGCATTCAGGAAATGATGTATAAATGCCCTTAAGCTTTTAACATATTAGCGGGAGTTAAAAAATACATGTAAAGTAATGCTAATTTAACAGAAAGGTTTTCCTAAGGACTGGCACAAAGGAAATCAGTTAAGGAACAGTAACCTTGTATTTCCATGAGTATAGAATGAAAGAAACACTGTGTAGCATTTTGATCCACGTGTTTCAATGCACTTGGTCTAACGCTGTCACTATAAATAATACTAGAGGTGCACATTCAGTTCATTTCCGAACATAGTTTAAAGTGTTGGTGCTGACCTTTAAAGCCCTCAACAGTTCAGTACAGTGGCATAGCGTGGGGGGTGCAGGGGGGGCCGGCCGCACCGGGCGCAACATCTGGGGGGGGCGCGCTCGCACTCGCAGCTCTCTGCCCCTACTAAAATCCACGGGTTAGGGGGCGCAAATTACTTGCCTTGCCCCGGGTGCTGACAACCCACGCTACGCCACTGGTTCAGTATACCTAAAGGTGCATCTCCACTCCCATTGTTCAGCCTGGACACTGAGGTCCAGCTCCTAGAACCTTCTGGTAGTTTCCTCATTGCAAGAAGTGAAGCTACAGGGAACCAGGCAGAGGACCTTCTCGGTAGTCACGCCCACACCATGGAACACCCTTCCATCAGACGTCAAGGAAGTAAACAACTATCTGACTTTTAGAAAACACCTGAAGGCAGCCCTCTATAGGGAAGTTTTTAATGTTTGATGTCTTACTGTGTATTAAATTGTTGGAAGCTGTCCAGGGTGGCTGGGGTAGCCTAGTCAGATGGGTAGCATATAAATATTAGTAGTAGTAGTAGTAGTAGTAGTAGTAGTAGTAGTAGAAGTAGTCTCAAAAGACAATGGAATAGTGCACCTTTGGGTAAAGTCAACCCATTGGAGAATCACAGCACCTGCTGTGGCTGTAGAGTCTGATATGAGAGAGACATGCTTTATGTTAGGAGCTTGTCCTACACTCAAGTAGGACCCTGGCAGAGACACATGCCCGACTGGCATGTTCCCTCCCTCCTGGTCGATCGTTTGGGAGCTTCAAAAGCTTTCTTCAGCCTGAACATCACAGCAATCGATGCCAACAGACATAGGCACACTTAGGGAACCACAGAGTCTTTGCAGCTTGCGTAACAGACCTCAGCAACTCAGCATTTTGGCTAATCTACTTTATTTATATATAAACACACACAGAGCACTGCAACATGGCTCCCCCTCTCTCTCCAGCATCAGACAATAAAGAGAACAAGAACAAAGGAGAATAGTCCCACTTCACGGAGCACAGTGACACAAACATCCTGTCTCCGTCACTTCCCACTCTGTAGAGTCAAAACATACGCCGTCATGTGATAGACAACAATCCCATGACTGCAAATCATGGAGCAGGAATTCTAACTTATTGCAGGAAGGGCCAGATTAAAGTGTCCAGTTTTGCTGCTGCAGACGCACCATGGCATTTCTTCTCTCTGTGCTCCTCCCAGTGGTCATTCCTCCTCTGATCACTGCTGTGGATACAAAACCTAACTGTCTCCAAGCATTGCGGTCATCTGCATGGGATTCCCATATGGCGGAGTTAATGTTGCCAGCCTTATCGTCGCATTTACAGACATCTTTGTAACACAGAGTTGGTCTGCCAGTGGGCCCGGTGCCTGAAGCCAGCTCCCTGTAGAGCATGTTCTTGGGGATCTTGCCATCTTCCATTCTGTGGATATGACCAAGCCAGTGTAGACGTCACTGATGCAGAATTGCAAACATGCAGTGAATGTGGGCTTGGGGGAACTCATCTTTGTTGGAGACTCTGTCTTGTCATGTGATGGCCAAATCTTCCTTACACAGCACATATGGAAGGCATTGAGGTGTTTCTCCTGAGGGGTGTAATTTGCCCATGACTCACACGCAAGCCTGGTAGTCCTATGTCTTGGTATTTGTGATTCGAGGACCTGTCCCCCGCTTGGGAATAATAAAGACACATGGACACAGTATATTAGGTTAATGAGCTAGAAAAGGCCACAACTTAATTGATTACAGCATGTGAGAGGTATTGGCTTAGGCATTGGACAACAGCAAATTTTGACTCCACCCACTCGGAGAGGGGTGAGTCTGATGAGAGTTAACCACCAGTAGGGGGAGCCTGTTGATGCAAATACAACTGTAAGCTCTCCCCTGATGTCACCGGGGGTCGTGCCATGGCCCCCAGCCACACAGGGCATCGGACAGGATCCACGACTGCTGGATTCCTTTAACGGAATACCCATAAGTGAACGGGTAGGCGATGGCCACACCTTGCCCTTCCATACACCAATAACACATTCCTTTTTATATATATATAATAATTTTTATTAAATTTTTCCTTTTACAAATTCGCCATCTCAAACATTATTCACAAATTTCAACTTTTTGGACTTCCACCAGCTTCTCCACCAATCATCCATATTCTTCATTTTTACTCATTCTCTATATTTGGTATTGCCATTTAATATTATCCTTTCAATTCTATTCCTTTTTTACAATGCATCTTTAACTTTCACAAAGCCTCTTTAAAACCCACTAGCATTGTCTGTTCGTCACATATGCTTTTCAGATAATCTGTAAACTTTCCCCAGTCCTCAATGAACTTGTGCTCCCGTTGATATCTGATCTTCCCAGTCAATTTGTCCAATTCTGCATAGTCCATAAGTTTCATTCTCCACTCTTCAAGGGTCGGTAACTTCTCTTGTTTCCATTTTTGGGCCATTAATATTCTTGCTGCTGTTACTGCGTATTGAAAAAGTTTGTGGTCCCTTCTATTTATCTCTTTTCCTATTATTCCTAACAAAAAGGCTTCTGGTTTCTTTACAAATGTGTATTTAAACATCTTCTTCAACTCATTGTATATCATTTCCCAGAAACCCTTTACCTTCTTACATTCCCACCACATATGGAAAAATGATCCTTCTTTTTCTTTACATTTCCAACACTTAATACATGTTTTAAACATTTTTGCTAACTTAACCGGGGTAATATACCATCTATATACCATTTTCATAATATTCTCCTTTAACGCAGTACATGCAGTAAATTTCATATTTTCATTCCATACTTTTCCCCAATCAACCAATTGTATATTATAACCAAACCAATAACACATTCCAGTGCCTAACCGCCAATACTAAGAAAGTTGTGACGATTGCTACGAGGTAGGCGAAAAAACCCAAGAGGCCGGTGCCAGTTTGCCAATTGGAAAAAACTCCTACCAGGCCCCCTGGGCAACTAGGGCGACCAACCATGGGTCCCTAGCAAGGTCGAGCGAGAAGCTACGCGATAAAGGGAGTGGTGGGTGGGTGACTCGAGGAAATCGGCAGCGCAATGGAGGGGAGAGCTGGCGCGGCCGCATTTGAGCGGCTAAACCACGCCCCTGAGCTGCCACCCAATTGGGTGCCCATTTGGGAGGCGTGGTGCACCAGCGATGATGGCAGGGTAGGGGCCGGAACGCCCCCTGCGTAGCGCAGGAATCGGTTCCCACTCACAATCCCTCCGGAAGGAGGAGAGGCTTTGTCATTAGCATCACATTCTCCCATACCCTTTTGGAGAGGCAAGCCATTGGCTGTAGCTGCCTTGCACCACTACAGAGAAGACAGTGGATGGAGTAATTGCATTCCCCAGTGTGTTTTCTTTATGTAAATTTTGATTTTGGATATTTATTTAGTTTTTGGTATATATATATATATACTGTTCATATCTAAATGGCCTGCACTTCTGAGATATACGTGGAAGGGTGGTGCTGAATGCATGTGATACACAGAATGCTGTCAAGGAGATGAATAATGATGCAACTGATTCTGGATGTCTCTTGAGCAAGAAAAGGAGAAAGAAAAAACCACCCGTAGCAAGTCTATAGATCAGTGACCAGAATCTCAATGTAGCAAAGTGGACATGACAAATGAGCTGTTTTGTCTATGCACCACTTTACACGTCACAATACTCTATTAATTATGTTCTGTTGCCAGTCTCTTCAGACTTATGCAGGCGGCATTAAATTAACACATCTGCTGGGATATTGGTAAAATGCCAATTTTTTTTAAAAAATGAAATGAAATGAAAGCATTTCCTCCCTTTTAGTGTGTGTTCGATGCATTATATTATCTTTTATTTACTTGTGTATGCGTATACTTCAATCCTGACTCTGACATCCATCTGTATTTGCTTTTTCCAATCATTTACACAGAAAAACACAGCCTAAGAAAACCTAGCTGGGGTTTATTAGATTACTCAAAATGGGGAAGCATTGAAATTGGTTCAAAATGGCAGCCCCAAAAGGGGGCGGGCAGTATATGAGATTCAGGGCACTGTTGTGAGTCGGGCATCTGCTGCCACTGAACCTGCTGCTCATTGTTAAACTCAAAATACAGAAGAAGGAGAAACATATTGTTGCCCCTAAACTCCCTTCCCTGCAACAATGGTAAGCCAGCCCCCCTCAATCCTTTAAGAACACCCCCACAGCCTATGAATGAGGCTGGGAAAGACACCTGTTGAACATATTTTAGTTCAGGCAAACTTATCCAGACTTGTAAAGCTGTTATGTCCTTTAATCTGGTTTTCGCTTATTGTTGATTTTAATTATTTCTGAATGTTTAAAACACTTGTTTTTTTAACATTTCCTGACTGATAACTTCTATTGCTTTCTTTACACCCCGTGTGTGCACCCCTGGCAGCGTTGGCAGCGAGCGTTAGCTTTACATGGTGGGTTCTGTGCACGCCAAGAAAGGACGCAACGCTACTGGAAACTCAACTTATGAAACGATGCATTTGATTTGAAGGTTATGGTGAAAACGTTAGGAAAAAAGAAAAATAAATCACACACACACACATATGGCTGTAGCAGGTGTTTGAGTTGCTGGTATGTACATCTGTTAGTTCAATTGCAAAATCAGCTCATCCCACGGCTGAAGGCGGTGCTCTCCTTGCTAAAATGACAAGACCTTATTACACATCTGAAAACCCTGGCATGGTGCTCTCCGGCATTTCCTTCCAATGCAATGTTTCCACAGCTCCCTCTTTGTGCCATGATTTGGTGGGCAGCTTCTGGATGCTGGTCTCGCTGCCTCCTGAGTATTTATATGTTGCTGGCACTGTGCGTTGTCGAATTGCGCATCTGCGGCCTTCAGAAAAGCACGAAATTGAAATGGTGCCCGGGCTGCATCAGAGATATAAATATATTATGGATTGTGCAGATGCAGGCTGGCGTACGATGGCAAAAGGAGCTGTCGACCAATCATTTGGATCTCTGCTGTTTGACTGAGTTTGGCCCAATTCATGAGTGTATCCTATGGTGTGAGAACTACCGAGAAGCAAATGGCTTGTGGGCTGCGCCATATGCTAAGGCACTTGTCTGAATCAGCTCCAACGTACAAGGCATAAATAATTCCACATTGGGAATTATAAAATATCCGTTCTTGTCCTGCAGGCGCAGGCACATCTGTAACCAGTACAGGACCAGGATGGGCATTTTATAATATAGCAGACTTTCAGCTACGCCAAGTCCAGATCTGTGGTTTCTGTTTAGCTGTGGAAGGCCTTCAAATAGAGTAAATCCTCAGAGACCAACAAATACTTAAAAGGCTTTTCGTATCGTGTGGGGTAGGAGGAACTGAGCACATACTGGAGAACATTAATTAATGCCAAATTCAAATTTAATTCCTCTGACAGACCATCTATAGGAACACTGAGGGAGTTTGTTTTAATCTTTGTTTTTACACTGAATAAAATAAATTAATGATAGGGAATGCAGAAAGTCTTGTTACGCTGCTATATTGAAGACAGTTTATGAGGGAAACATTCTCTACGGGCATAACAAAGTCTCTAATTGGCTGTTTTGAGGAGAATCAAAAGAGTGTCAAACTTCACTGAAACATAAGGAGGGAAAGTTGCCACTGCCTGCTTCCTATTGTGTTTGCTTTTTTATTGTTATTACTGCAGTAAAATTGTAGTGCAGTATAATTTGGACGCATGCAAAAAAAAAAAAAAATGTCCCTGGAAGACAGAGAAATGCAACTTTATTACAAGAAAGCAAAGTCTACATTTTCCATATACAATATCATGCAGATCAGTGATGTTGCACCATCCCTGACTATTGGCAATGTTGGCTGGAGCTGAAAAGATTTGAGTCCAGCAACATTTAGAGGCCCACCAACTTCCCATCCCTGATATAGATAGAGTCAAGAGAATAATAAAAGCCAGGGCAATCTGAGCAACTAGAGAGGTCAGCAATCATCCCTTGATACCATCCCAACTGCAAACTGCAAATATCTCACTGATGTAAAGGACTTAGAACTTTGGTTCAGAGCCACAGAGGGGTCCACTACGGTTGGAGAAGACAGGCGTTGTCCAACCAAGGAGAGAAAGAAGCAAGCAGATTTTTAAAATCAAAGATCCTTTATTTGGTTGCAAGTACAGTGGTACCTAGGAACACGGGTGGTCTAAACCACTGAGCCTAGGGCTTGCCAATCAGAAGGTTGGTGGTTCGAATCCCTGCAACGAGGTGAGCTCCCATTGCTCAGTCCCAGCTCCTGCCAACCTAGCAGTTCGAAAGCATGCCAGTGCAAGTAGATAAATAGGTACCACTGCAGCAGGAAGGTAAACGGCGTTTCCGTGCACTGCTCTGGTTTCTCCAGAAGCGGCTTAGTCATGCTGGCCACATAACCCGGAAAAATGTCTGCTGACAAACGTCGGCTCCCTTGGCCAGTAAAGCGAGATGAGCACGGCAACCCCAGAGTCATTTGCGACTGGACTTAACTGCCAGGGGTCCTTTACCTTTACAGTGGTACCTCACTTAATCCGTTCCGGAAGCCCATTCCTAAACCAAAACCATTCTTAAACAGTGACATGCTTTCCCTAATGAGGCCTCCCGCCACTGGTGCCCTTCCACCCTTCAGATTGCATTCTTAGACTGAGGTAAAGTTCTCAAACCAAGACACTATTTCCGGATTTGCGGAGTTTGTAAACCCAATCGTTCTTAAACCGGACTGTTCTTAAACCGAGGTATCACTGTAGTTACAATCATTGAGAAGTTGAACAAACACGGATAAGGCACAAAGATACAAAGGAGTCGATTCCATTTGGAAAGACCCAATTGCATAAGGGTCACAGTACGGATTCACATTTACAAGTAGTAAAGACACAATTACAGGAGAGCGGGGAAACTAGATACAATTTAAAATTACCTGGATACAATTATAAAAAACACTTGGATACAATTAAAAAATATAGAGATAAGGTAAATTGAAGAAACAGGGTAATGGGCAGTGCAGGGAAGAAAGAAAAATGCTTTATTTGACAGAAAGGGAAAAAAGGCTTCGAAGGACGGGAATAATGGGAGAAGCGAATTAAAAGGAGAACAGCTAAAGGAAAAATTGAAGAAAATGTTTATATTTATCTCTTAGGTTGTCTTCATTTGGTTTGGTCTTGGTTTTCAGCTTCTTTAGCTATTTTTCTACATCATCATTATAAGCCTTTGTTCAAAAAATGTAAGAAATATTTGGCTGAATCAAAGTAAAATGTATTTTTTGTTATCCACCCACCTCCCAAACCTTTGTTTTTTCAAATCTTAAATGTCCTTTCCCCACTCACAGCCAAATCTGAACTGCTTTCTTTTCTTCTGAAGCGTTGTTGATTTTCTGTGTGTATAACTTGCTCTTTGCTGGAGGCAGAATATATATGCACTTACTCTTTTTTAAAAATAAAATAAAAACAACTACTCCAATGGAATGGAAAATACCAGATGAAACTGAGAGTCAATGTTGCAACATACAGAATGCAGTACAAGGATGTTTACCTAGCCAACCGTGCTTGTTGAACCATTTCATTTATATTTACAGTACTGGTGACTTTTCCACCCAAAGATTTCAAAGTCTTCCACGGACGCAAAGGCTGTGAAAACAAAACCAACCACCGCATTTCTAATAAATTCATTCGTGTGACTATATGCCTATCGCAGGAAGTTGTCAACTATTTCTTGTACAAGATGGATAGTATTGACTATACTGGAGTTTTATTATATTCTGATACAGGATCTCTCACAAATGCATTTTTATTAGAAAGCTTCCACCATCGTCTGCTTGCAACTTGCAAAACTATTCTGAAAGCAGAGTACATGTGAGCAGGTCTGCAGAGTGCAAATCTGGGATGTGGTAAATGCTTTTACATGTTGTATCTACCAGGGGATTGTCTGCCACCATCCCTTTATAGCTGCTGGCTTTTGGAAGTCACAACATTTTGACACCAGACTTCCTTCCCTTGTCGTAAACAAGGGAGCGTTTTAAAATATATTGTAACTAAGGAAGGGCTACACCTATTAGAAAAAGAAGACTTCTATTAGTATGAGGTTTCAGTACAGTGGTACCTTGGTTCTCAAACGTCTTGGTACTGAAATGCCTTGGTTGTAGGAGGGTATGCAATCGATGCATGGACCTTAGCGCATGGATTGCTGCTGCTGTGATCATTTCTCATTTGGCTGTGGCCTCATAAACAGGATAGTAGTGCTAGTTCTGTTCCCACCCTTGGCAGTCGTAGCTGTAAACAGGATTTGACCCTTAAACTAGTCTGAACTTCTTATTGGTCCCATAAGCACTGCCCCAAGCTCCTTGGAGGAAGGGTGGAATACACATGTGATGAAAAATAAAAACATCAATGAAATATTGTAACTATTTCTGAAGTCTGATCTGGAAATCTATCCTTTTTTTAAAAAAAAAAAGTTCATACAGCAGCCTCCTTTTCACTGTGTACGCAGCCTTGTAATTTGCATTAACTGTGCATATTTATTCTGCTTTACAGTAATAGTAAACAGCTCAGTAGAGATACTAATATTGGGAAACTGAACAGGGCCTTTTGAACACCATCCTTCTCCCAGCAAAGTTAATAGCAATCCTAAATTAGCGTTTAATGAGTGTAAGTGAGCTCATCTTTTATCTGAGCATCCTCTTTGTTTCATGCTGTGCTTCTGCTACTAATAATGTGAAGACAACATGGTGTTCGCAACAGGCATTACTATAAAAGAATTATGCCTATTTTATATACATAGTTTTTCACATGTACATATATCTTGCACATGTTGCTAACCTTGTAGATCAAAGAAAGAGCATATAAATCTTGTTCACCTACATGCAGTGAATCCGAAGAGATTATTCAGTAGTAAAAACATGATATAGTACTTTGATTTGTGGAATATCTGGAGAAAACTCATTCATTTGCAGCAGCCGTCATGCAGTTCAGTCACAATAACTCGCTTTCTGGCTTAGCCTCCACAGTTTCCCTCCAGTTGTTCTCATTCTCTGGCCTTTCTAGGTCACATTCAGGTCTCTATATAGCACTGGCCATGTTGCCCATTTGGGGAGAAGGTATAGGAGCGGACCACAGCTCCAACATAGGTTTCCCCTGCTAAATAACTAGTCTATGCTTGCCTGCACTGTATCAGGTTGGATCTTGCTATGTTCACAAATGTACATTATCTCAAGGAGTCTCGTTTGCAGTTTTTGCAAATTCCACCTTTCTCAGGGCCACCTCTGTTACTCCCACCAAATGACGTCTCAAAGGTTTCCCCAACCCTTGGATCAGATTTGGGGATGGGGGCAAAGGCTGCAGAAGGAAGAAGGAATAATAGAAAATTGTCTACCAGTGCCCCTTCGTGGAAGCCTCCACTTGTTCAAACAACTCCTATGAATGGTTACAATTGCTGCTGAGCAGTGAAGAAGAAGAAGAAGAGGAGGAGGAGGAGGAGTTTGGATTTGATATCCTGCTTTATCACTACTCTAAGGAGTCTCAAAGCGGCTAACAATCTTCTTTCCCTTCCTCCCCCACAACATACACTCTGTGAGGTGAGTGGGGCTGAGAGACTTCAGAGAAGTGTGACTAGCCCAAGGTCACCCAGCAGCTGCATGTGGAGGAGCGGAGAATCAAACCCAGTTCACCAGATTCCAAGTCTACCGCTCTTAAACACTACACCACACTGACCAGCACCCAACAGTCTCAAGGGCTCAGAACTCCCATGGCACCAGTTCTATGAAAACTCACAGCAGCCTTCGCAACTCCATCCTTACTCAAGTTCTTAGAGCCATAGATCAGGCTGGTGGGTCATCAGACTGGGCTTTTGGGGGCCCCATACGCTTCTGGCGCTTGGGTTTGGAACCTTTCGTTTTCAAAAGAAAAAGCTGAATTGCTTATAATGCAATGCAAGGCATCACATCCTTGCAGGCCTGCTGATTTCCTTGTTTCACACATGAATGGAACCACTCCACTTGGCGCCATAATTGCAATTATTGCAGGCATATTATTTAGGATCCCATTGAGAGCATTTTGTTAATAGTCTCCATTAAATGTCGACTGAGGAGCAGACCTCTGATTACAGCTTGAAATGTCCCCCCATAATGTGGCACTCGGCTTACATAGCCTCTCGAAGGAAAGTGCCCTTCCCTCTTGGGCAAACCCGATAAATGAAAGATGCAGAAAGACTGCTGTGTAATGGAGTCGCCATCAGTCAATTAGCATAGCAAACTGTGGCCTGCACTAAGCTGCTCTGGTCTTTTCTCAATGTGACACTGAGCATGGGTACTGGGAGCTATGAAAGAGCCGGTGCGATGGAACAGCAACGTAACAGCAGAGGCAAATATCACCGAACACAGCCTTTTCTTATCCCTTTCCCCGTGCCTTCTAATGAATACCTTTGAATCAATTGTTTTATTCATACGAAAAAGGCCCAAGTTCTGATAGCAAAACATTATTTAGTTATCTGATGCATGCACATTTAAAAACAAATAAAGGCGGCCCCTTCCAAAAAAAGGTACAAGTTACACCATATTAGTTGGGACGCGGGTGGCGCTGTGGGTTAAACCACAGAGCCTAGGAGTTGCCGATCAGAAGGTCGGCGGTTCGAATCCCTGCAATGTGGTGAGCTCCCGTTGCTCAGTCCCTGCTCCTGCCAACCTAGCAGTTTGAAAGCACGTCAAAGTGCAAGTAGATAAATAGGTACCACTCTGGCGGGAAGGTAAACGGCGTTTCCGTGCGCTGCTCTGGTTCACCAGAAGCGGCTTGGTCATGCTGGCCACATGACCCGGAAGCTGTACAGTGGCTCCCTCGGCCAATAAAGCGAGATAAGCACCGCAACCCCAGAGTCGGTCACGACTGGACCTAATGGTCAGGGGTCCCTTTACCTTTACCTTACACCATATTTATCCTTCACCATATTAGAATTTGTCTCCTCTGTCACTGGAAATAAGACAAGCAGGCAGCTGAACCATAGCTTTGGGTTCTTAGAATAATAGAATCATAGAACTATAGAGCTGGAAGGGACCCCAAGGGCAATCTAGCCCAACTCCCCTGCAATGCAGGAATCTCAGCTGAAGCATCCATGACAGATGGACAACCAACCTCTGCTTAGAAGCCACCAAGGAAGGAGAGTCCACAAAAAGACCTACACTGGCTCCCAGTATGTTTCCGAGCACAATTCAAAGTGTTGGTGCTGACCTTTAAAGCCCTAAACAGCTTTGGCCCAGTATACCTGAAGGAGTGTCTCCACCCCCCATCATTCAGCCTGGACACTGAGGTCCAGCGCCGAGGTCCTTCTGGCAGTTCCCTCGCTGTGAGAAGCCAAGTTACAGGAAACCAGGCAGAGCACCTTCTCGGTAGTGGCACCCACCCTGTGGAACGCCCTCCCACCAGATGTCAAAGAGAAAAACAACTATCTAACTTTTAGAAGACATCTGAAGGCAGCCCTGTTTAGGGAAGCTTTTAATGTTTAATAGACTATTGTATTTTAATATTTTGTTGGAAGCTGCCCAGAGTGGCTGGGGTGGGGTATAAATACTAAATAATAATAATAATAATAATAATAATAATAATAATAATAATTACTATTATTACTGGGTTGCGGCACTCATCTTGCTTTTCAAGCCAAGGGAGCTGGCATTTGTCCACAGACAGCTTTCCGGGTCATGTGGCCAGCAGGACTAAACTTTTTCTGGCACAACAGGAAACCAGAGCAATGGAATTGCCGTTTACATTCCCGCCACAGCAGTACCTTTTTATCTACTTGCACTGGCATGTTTTTGAACTGCTAGGTTGGCAGGCGCTGATACAGAGCAATGGGAGCTCAGCCTGTTGTGGGGATCCAAACTGTCAACCTTCTGATTGGCAAGCCCAAGAGGTTAAGTGGTTTAGACCACAGCACCACCTGAATAAACAAGCGTGCAATCACTGATAGGTCCACCTGCCATTGTGAGGCTCAAAGCAATGAAGATGATGCCTCCCCAGCTGTTGCCATTGGCTATGGGTTTTTTGTGATGTTACAAAAGCACTTGGCAACTGAGTAGATATAAAGGCAGGCCAAGGGGAAAGCCCTTTTCTGTTTCCAGCAGGACACACCTGGCAATGGATGTGACATTCAGCACTGCCCAGGTTTCTTCCACTTGGAGGAGGCAAACTGGTGAATGGAAGGAGGCAATCCTCTGGCAGTGGGATGCTGGGGAGTGATAATAAGGCAAGTTTGCTTGCTTGAAGGCTGCTGGTATCCATGGTTGGAAGCTGGCGGACGTCTCATGATGGACCTAACAGTAGCTTCTGGGACAATGGGACACCGTGACGGAAACCAGAGCACACGGAAACGCCGTCTACCTTCTCACCACAGCGATACCTAAAGTATGTATCTACTTGCACTGACCTGGAAACTCAGCCAGATGGGCGAGATATAAATATATTATTATTATTATTATTATTATTATTATTATTATTACCTCCCGTGGGAGACCATTCTTGGGCATTTTGCTTGTGAAAAGGAGACATGCTCTACAGCAGGCTGTCCCACTTCCAAGAGACTGTGATCTACAACCACTATATATAAAAACTGGCAGTGATCCACCCATTGGATGACCAGAGTTGTTGAGCTTGTTTGGGGAAAGCTTCATCAAAGTTGTTGATCTTTTTTGTTTTGACCAGGATCGACCAGGGGCAGCCCATGATTGCATGATTGACCAGTAGATCGCGAAAGTTCAGTTGTGATCCCTGCCATGTGCAGTTAAAAGGATCAGGGATCAGAACTGTCGAAGACCCTCTCTCTGCTTTGCTTCAGATCCTGATTAGTTGTTGTCAATCAAAGGAGGTAATGCTAGGCTAGATGGACCAATGGCGTCATGTGGTGAAGGACAGCATCCTGTCCTTTACCAGTGATGGTGTGAATCTGCCAATTCCTGCCACCCAAAAATGCCTCTTCCTGGTTCAAACTAGGCCCAGCCCCCCCACCCCCTGAACTCAGGTCCATTTCAAAATCAAGTTCATCTCAACTGCTAGCCAGCTCTCTCTGGCAGTGCACCCTTCTTTCCAAGCAAGAAAAACAACTACAGGGACAGAGAAGGTTACAACTGTTGCCAGAGATAACTTCCTAGAGACAGGAGAAGACTTCTGACCTTCTTGTAAACTGGATGTGGCACTCCTAAGCATCACCAGGTTTTATTTATTTGTTTTACTTTATTACTTCATTTCTATCCTGCCTTTCCTCCATGGACCTCAAGGCATCATAGATAGTTCTCCCCCTCTTCACAGGAGTCTCACAACAGCTCTGTAAGTCAGGCTGAGACATAGTGACCTGGGTCGCATGACACAATAAGTCAAATCTATACCACAAGAGGGACGCAGGTGGCGCTGTGGGTTAAACCTCAGAGCCTAGGACTTGCCGATCAGAAGGCTGGCGGTTCGAATCCCCGCAACGGGGTGAGCTCCCGTTGCTTGGTCCCAGCTCCTGCCAACCTAGCAGTTCGAAAGCACGTCAAAACTGCAAGTAGATAAATAGGTACCGCTCCGGCGGGAAGGTAAAAGGCGTTTCCGTGCACTGCTCTGGTTTGCCAGAAGCTGCTTATTCCTGCTGGCCACATGACTGTACACCGGCTCCCTTGGCCAATAAAGCGAGATGAGCGCCGCAACCCCAGAGTCGGTCACGACTGGACCTAATGGTCAGGGGTCCCTTAACCTTTATACCACAAGAGCTTGCAGGCTCCAAGAGAGGGGCTCACAGCTGAACTGAGTTAAGCAAAAGTTCCCTGATTAGGGAAGCTTTTAATGTTTGATGTATTACAGTATTTTAATATTTTTTTGGAAGCCGCCCAGAGTGGCTGGGGAAGCCCAGCCAGATGGGCGGGGTATAAATAATAATAATAATTATTATTATTATTATTAAAGTTCAGCTTAGTATGTCATCTGAACTGGGTGTCATGGTTAATGGCTCTCCTCACTAACCACAGCCAGGAACAAATCTTGTGTGGGTTAGCATTTTCCATGAGAGAGAGAGAGAGCTTCAGAGCTTCAGAGAGAGAGAGAGAGGGAGAGGAAGAATGGTTTTCAAGGCAAGCCAAGGGAAATTTGCTCATCATTAGCTAAAAAGAGATTTTCCACTAGCTTTCTTATCCGCACTTCAAGATGTTGGGAAGCTTTGGTTAAGCAGGTCAAAGAACACAGCAGAAGGGAAGTGAGAAGATGTAGAAACCAAAGTCTTTCAAAGTGAAGGTCAAAAGATACTGTTTTATGAGCTATAAAGGGGGGGGGGAAGCTTCCTAGATAATATACAGTATATAAGGAAGGACAAAAAACGAGTGAGAAAATTGTTCTCGCAAGAGAACATGACATAATTAATGTCACATGTAGCTCAATCCTGGGCCTCCCTGAAAGAGAGATGTTCATCAACTTGCCTTTAATGAAAGGATCCCATGCTACTCTGATTATTAAACCTGATCTGTTTCAAATGCATTTTCTCCTAGCCGGAATGTCAAAGTCTCATTACAGAAGTGCAGGAACTGGATCAATAAGGGATGCTCACATCTGCATTTCTTATACATTTTAGACAGGTTGAAGGCTATGAATTGCACAAGGATGTTGTGTGGAGTGGACTATTTTTCCAACCTGAAATCTGACCTGAAATGCTGCGCCCACAAACCTTTTTCCATACTTCCCCCCACTCTGCAACTTTACTCAGAAATCAGTCTATCAAACTGCATTCATTTACCTTCATAATCTGACCTGACGCAACCAAGAGGCAAAGTGAAATTTATGGTAGAAGCAAATGTCCTTTCTAAAGGGGAGGGGGAGCTGCAGCGCTGGCAGCAGAAGTTAGGACTGGGTAAATTCTGCACTGAAGGTTCCACAGGGCCAAAGAGCATTCCCCAAGCATCACCCTCTGGGAATGACTATATCCAAGGAGGACTGGAACCATCACAAAGTAGTGCCACCTATTCCTAACTCAAACAGCCTCTCCAGAAGATACTGTCATTGATGATATCAAAAGCCACTGAGAGACTGAGGAAAATTAACTTGGACACTTATCCCCCCCCCACACACAATCTCTTTCCTGGCAGAGGCAATAATGCATGGCAACCAAAGCAGTTTCTGTGCCAAAACTGGGCCTAAATCCTGATTGAAATGGATCTAGAAGTACTGGAGTACTGTGTCCAGTTCTGGGCACCACAGTTCAAGAAGGACACTGACAAACTGGAACGTGTCCAGAGGAGGGCAACCATAATGGTCAAAGGCCTGGAAACGATGCCTTATGAGGAACGGCTAAGGGAGCTGGGCATGTTTAGCCTGGAGAAGAGGAGGTTAAGGGGTGATATGATAGCCATGTTCAAATATATAAAAGGATGTCACATAGAGGAGGGAGAAAGGTTGTTTTCTGCTGCTCCAGAGAAGCGGACACGGAGCAATGGATCCAAACTACAAGAAAGAAGATTCCACCTCAACATTAGGAAGAACTTCCTGACAGTAAGAGCTGTTCGACAGTGGAATTCGCTGCCAAGGAGTGTGGTGGAGTCTCCTTCTTTGGAGGTCTTTAAGCAGAGGCTTGACAACCATATGTCAGGAGTCCTCTGATGGTGTTTCCTGCTTGGCAGGGGGTTGGACTCGATGGCCCTTGTGGTCTCTTCCAACTCTATGATTCTATGATTCTAGAAAAACAGTTTCCTTCAAGAGTGCCTGGATCTGGTCTGTGACCACCTACTCAAGAACCTTGCCCAAGAAGGGGAGATTGGTTGTTCTCTGTGGAAAGAAAACTATATGAAAATGATGTACAGATGGTATACCACACCAGTACAAATAGCAAAAATGTACAAAACCAGATCAAACATATGCTGGAAATGTAAAGAAAAAGACAGTAGTTTTTATCATATGTGGTGGGAATGTAGAGAACTTTAAAAATTTGGGGAAATGATATATAATGAATTGGAAAAAAATGTTTAAAATGACATTTGTAAAAAAAACCAGAAGCATTTTTGTTAGGGATTGTAGGACAAGACCTGCCAAGAAAAATAAAGAATTTGTTTATGTTTGCTACAACAGCAGCAAGAATCTTGTTAGCACAAGGGTGGAAGAATGAGGAAATCCCAACGAAAGAACAGTGGCAAAAAAACTGATGAGCTATGCGGAACTGGCCAATTTGACATACAAACTGAGTGATAAGGACAATCGTGACTTCAAAGAAGAATGGGAACTTTTTACAAATTACCTAAAAAGACAACAAAATGATTTGGACTCCTTGGCAGGTTTTGAATAAACATCCACAAATTTATTAGTTGAATACATGATAGACAAGGCAAAGATATGTACAATTTTATAATATGCAGAAAACAATATGTGCAAAAAAACCAGAGAGGGGAGCTGAGGGAAGTCCTATGGGAGCGGGTGAAAGAAGGGGGGGGGAATAATGTAATTGATTATTTGGATTGGTATTTTGTTATGTTGAAATTGTTTTTTTAAAAATTTCAAAAAAAGAAATGAAATATTTATCGTATATCCATGAGATATTCTGTACTTAATTTACAATGCAGCCTGGGGTTTTCAACATTTTTGGAATGTTTATTTTTGTAGGAACTTCACAGCTCTTCGAAAAAGATAGAAATGTTTGTTGTTTACATCTACTATAGCAATAAAGATATCATTTTTATGAAAAAGAAACAATATGATTTTCTCATAGCAAATTTATTATTTCATACTATGTGGAAAGGAATACCTATATTACATAATGAGCTACTGGTGACCAACTACGGAATGTTCTCCTCAGACAGACTCATCTTGCAGTTCCCTTGACCTGTTCATTTTTCCAGGTCTTTTTATTGGTTCTTGATTCTACATCTTTGCCAAATGATTCTATGCTCCTTTTTTATTGTTAATATTTTGCTTTTATTTTTTTTTAAATTGTCGTTTAAATCATAATTGCATTATCATTTGTAAGCTGCCCCATGAATTTTTTTAATAAGCAGGATAGCCTCAAAGATGACCAGAATGATATTCTACTAATATGGTGGATCTTGACCTAAATGATTTTGGAAATCATCAGAAGTAAATAACTATAACTGTTATATTTCCGGTTTCTGAGCTGTTCTTCCGCAGTTCTCAAAGACAACCAGCCGCAAACATAGCTGTCAACTTACAGATTTGAAAATAAGTGACCAGCAGCCTTGAAAATAAGGGACCAGCAGCCAAAATAAGGGACCTGCAGCCTCACCTGTTCCAGGCACTCCAGTCTTCCTGTCCTCATGCAGTCTGGTCAAACTCATGCTGGTAGCTTCGAGAACACTGTCCAACCATCTCATCCTCCGTCGTCCCCTTCTCCTTGTGCCCTCCATCTTTCCTAACATCAAGGTCTTTTCCAGGGAGTCTTCTCTTCTCATGAGGTGGCCAAAGTATTGGAGCCTCGGCTTCAGGATCTGTCCTTCCAGTAAGCACTCAGGGCTGATTTCCTTCAGAATGGATAGGTTTGATCTTCTTGCAGTCCATGGGACTCTCAAGAGTCTCCTCCAGCACCAGAATTCAAAAGTGTCAATTCTGAATCACATGCACCATAAGGCCTATGCAGCCTCAACTTAAGATGGCTCCCCGGCCTGGCTTTGCAGTGCAAAGTTTGCAGCAGCACGTGCAACAAAATGGCGTCCAGCATTCAACCTCCCCCCCCTCAGCTTGCATTAACTAGCCACACACACACAGCCTCCCCCCCCACGAGATCTCCTTTCCTTTCCCCCCACCATGTGCCCCTGCTCCAGACAGACCTTTTAGCCGGCAAGGGTGGGTGGGCTGTCGATAACGTATCCATCCGATTCCAATCTGAGCACTCAGCACAGGTATGTTCAACTTCTGAGCCCCTCTGAGCCAAAGGCAGAAAGCCCAGCCAGCAGCCAAACGAAGCCTCAAGGAAAACCACTGTCACCTCTCTGCTGGGAAGCGCTGAGCAAAGGTGAGTCCCCAGGCAATGCAGCTGATTTGATCAGCACAAGGCATGCAAGCTCCACCCCCCAGTCATTCTTACACTTCTTATTGGGTGAGCAACACAGCCAAGCAACACAGTTGGAGCCTCCCTCCTCCCTGGAGGGCAGGGAGGGAGGGAGAGGAGCTGCTTCCTTTGAAATTTAAGGGACATCATTTACAGGACATTTAAGGGACATCCATCAATAAGGGACAGCAGCGGAACATGGCGCTGGAATAAGGGCCTGTCCCTCCAAATAAGGGATGCTTGACAGCTATGGCCGCAAATAAGGAAGGCTCAGTTGGGGATAAGTTGGCACGATCCAAGGATGAGCAGCTTAAGACTAAGGAGGAATACCCAGGGTGCCCCATTTTGCCACTTGAGGTGAAACAGGAAGTGCTGCTTTGCCCTGCCCTATCTCTCCTGCCACCTCTGCCACACCTGTTGCTGCCAGTGCCATTTCTCTGCCCACGCTGCTGGCAGAGAAGCGGCACCAACATTGGCTCCAATTTCAGGTGAGATCTCACCAAGATTGTGCAAGATATTTTGCGCCCACAAGCTCTTGTGCAATTTTGACTGAAATCAGCACCGACACCAGTGCTGCTTCTGCACCTGTGGCAGAGTTGGTGCGGCAGGTGGGATGTCCACAAGGCTGGCACCTTGGGGGTGTCTGTTGTCTGAGACAGCCACCTCAGCTTGTCTAATGGCAGAGCCGGCCCTGGGAATACCAAATGCATTGCCATTACAATGGTACCTCGGGTTACATACGCTTCAGGTTACATACGCTTCAGGTTACAGACTCCGCTAACCCAGAAATAGTGCTTCAGGTTAAAAACTTTGCTTCAGGATGAGAACAGCAATCGTGCTCCGGCGGCACGGCGGCAGCAGGAGGCCCCATTAGCTAAAGTGGTGCTTCAGGTTAAGAGCAGTTTCAGGTTAACTACGGACCTCCGGAACAAATTAAGTACTTAACCCAAGGTACCACTGTACTTTCTTTTCATCTTGGCTTGATTTCAGTTTCCACATGCAGATTTCTTCCTGTACTTAAAGTTTCTGAAAGGGAAGTTGGGAATGTTATAGTGATTAACAGAATTCCTTTTACAAAAAAAAAAAAGCAGGATTAAGCCAAAGAACCTCTGTGTCGGCATGGAACATGACAAGGTTTCAGTCACATTAATGTTGCGTGTCGAGGTCCCCAAGCCGCCACCCCCCTAAATAAATCACAATTCACACAGAATTTTTTTAAAGGTTTTTGGCATAATTTTAACCACAACTTTATTAAAATACATAATGTGAATGGTTGCTTAGGCATTGGTTACGACTATCTGTCCCCACCCCAGGACAGAACTGACTTCCGGATTCCAGCAAAAGCCAGTGAGGGAAAACAATATTGGGGAGAGAATGGAGCTGGGCACCATACCGTCACCCCTCCCCGCATGCTCCCAGGGGCTTGCACAGTCCTAGCCCCTTGCCAAGGATATGGACAAAAGTATGGCAAACCCCTGGATTCCTTTAACGGAATTCCCTAGCAGCAGCAGCATTGGAGGGGCAGGCACAGCCAACCCTTACCCCCCACAACCAAATTTTAACCAATTCCTAATCACAACCTTACAAGTTGTAATGATTTGCTACACAGTAGGCAAAAACCAAATGGCACCAGCCAATCTGCCAAATGGACAGGCTCCTGCCCCAAAAGCAGACGACCCCATGACAGGCATAGCAAGGTCAAATGCAACAGCCCTAAATTAGGGAGGGTGGGCGGGCGATCCGATACATGCAGCAAAAGAGACTGAAAAAAGCTGCGTGCCAAGAATATATAACCTTCCGGCCAACCCTCTAAATGGTACCATCAAAATCTCCCCAACAACCCAAATTGGCCCAATCATAGTCATGGCCATCCAAACGGTCCCGCCCAGTAACCAAGAGGGAGTGTCCTGTTAGACCCCACCGCAACACGTGCTCTCCATGAAGGAGAACACGCTTTGCCAGTCTGTTCCTTGTCTTCCTCTCCCACTCTGATCTTCCTCCCTTTTGCAATGCTGTTCATTTATGACTGCAGTTATCTTTCCAACTCCCTTGCTTTCTTTCACCCTTCGTTGGGTAGATGGGAGTGGGAGTGAAATAAAACTCTCCCCAGAAAATCGTGGAAGGAGGAAAATAAGTTTCTCAGGCACTTTTGGTAAGGACAAGCCTCTCTCCTTGCTTCATTTTATGAGACAGCCAAGACTTTTTTTTTTAATTAATATTTATTGCTTTTCCAACGATTTAAACACTACAAAAACAATACAGTACAAAAACACTACATAACATTGACACATTAAACACATTAAACACATTAAACTAACAAAACAAAACAAAAACAGTTTAAAATAAATCAAACATTTTCAATATCTTAACTTTCATTCACTTATTTCCATGACCTCCTCACACCTCCCTTTTTGTATTCCACTTCTGTTAATTGTTTCAGCAATTCCTTTCCATCTTCCTCTGTTTTCTATCCTATAGTTATCTTAACACATTCTAACCTTATTTTTTCCTTTAATACTCTATTAATCTATTTATACTTAATTCCTTATAACATTTCTACTAAAGCCATATAATTTCATTCCAACATTTTTCTAACATTCATTAATTTTACAGTATTTCTGTAAATAGTCTTTAAACTTTTTCCAGTCTTCTTCCACCAACTCTTCTCCCTAGTCTCGGATTCTGCCAGTCATTTCCGCCAATTCCATATAGTCCATCAACTTCATCTGCCATTCTTCCCAGGTGGGTAAATCTTGTGTCTTCCAATACTTCGCGATGAGTATTCTTGCTGCTGTTGTTGCTTACATAAAAAAGGTTCTATCCTTCTTTAGCACCAATTGGCCGACCATGCCCAGGAGAAAGGCCTCTGGTTTCTTCAGGAAGGTATATTTAAGTACCTTTTTCATTTCATTATAAATCATCTCCCAGTATGTCTTAATCCTTGGGCATGTCCACCAAAGGTGAAAGAATGTACCTGCAGTCTCATTACATTTCCAACATTTATTGTCGGGCAAATGGTAAATTTTTGCAAGCTTGACTGGTGTCATGTACCACCTATAAATCATTTTCATTAAATTTTCTCTTAAGGCATTACATGCCGTGAATTTCATACCTGTGGTCCATAACTGTTCCCAGTCAGCCATCATTATATTATATCCAACATCTTGTGCCCATTTAATCATAGCTGATTTCACCGTTTCATCCTGAGTGTTCCATTTCAACAGCAAGTTATACATTCTTGACAAATTCTTGATTTTTGGATCTAACAGTTCTGTTTCCAATTTTGATTTTTCCACCTGAGACAGCCAAGACTTTCCCATTTTTTTCTCTTGTGTGTTGAGGTCCCCAAGCCACCCCAAATAAAACACAATTCACATGGAATTTTTG